TTTGGTCCAACCACTACAAAGAGAAAGGGAAAATAATTTTAAAATAAAACAGCTTTCAGGTACCGCTGAAGATACTGCAGGTATCACTCAAAATCAAGTCAGTTCCCACTATATGGTAAAGAGTTAATTAATTAATTCTATTTATTTGTTCACTTATCTGACAAGCAGAGCAATGTCTGAGTTTGAAGGATTAATAACAGAGATATGTTTGTGTGTACATGTGTGTGGATTAAGCCACTGTCTTGCGGTACATGCAGGAAGGTAACTGCGGCTGCCCAGAAACAGCTTGCCCATCTTTGGCATAGCTCTAATATCTACATGCACCCCCCCAATCCAGGAGTATGCCGAGAAGCTACCTTCACTGCTCCCAGATCCGCTTAAGGTAGGTACTTCTGACATGGTGGTGGAGTGTTTATTAGATCAGAATACTTAGAGCAGTAGTAGCTGGGAAGAGAAAACCTGCGTGAGGACCACAGACTGTCAAACAAAGGGAAAAACTTTGTGATCCTCAGGCCTTTTCTTTGGTCCTAGAGATACACAAGGATAAAATCTCAGGCTCCTGTTCTGTTTAGATATCTGCTTTCCCTTCAGTTGTTCTGTGAAGGGACCCTGCCACTACCTATGCAAAGGTAGTTTCTGTTTAGTGAGTCATGTTCATCTTTACCCAAACATTTTCCTTTTTCTTTAAGTCACTGTTTCATCTTAGATACAGGGTGGAAAGGCTGAAGAGTCTAACTCTGGAAGCTTTTTCTGCACTGCCCATCATCATAATCTTAACCCTCATTTGCACATCCATGATGTTAACGTTAGGTTTATTGCCATTAAGTCACTTTGAGGCAGTGATGGGTTATTGCTCATAATGTTGCTAAGGCTACGTGGTCTCATCCTAAATAAGCGGGTGATTATTGCTGGCTGTACTGATCATGAGCATTTCTGTTTAGGTGGTTTTTCTGACCAACAGGGGGTCAGAAGCCAATGATCTGGCAATGTTTCTGGCAAGGTTACATACTTGTAGCTTCGACATCATCTGTTTCAGGTAATGGTGATGTGATCTTTAGGAAACTCCCTGTGTGTGATCACTCTGTATATGCGTGAGACATGAAGCAACGTGGAACTCAGTCTGCTGAGGACACATTCAGATTAATTTATCAGACGAAGAGCAAAACATCAGTATTGGGAGTTGAAATTTTGATACAGTGAGCTAGGGATGACTAAAAGACAACTTATGATTTCTGCCTTAATTATTTGAAGAACTGATCTAATCCTTGTGTTACCTGCTTCCACTGATCCCACCCTGCCGCGCTGCCCTTTGCAGGGATACAAGGGTTCAGTTAGAACAGATGAGCAGTGACCCAGAGCAGGGAACTGATCTGGCCGAAAACTGACCCAGCGAAAGGACTGGGTCCTTTTTGTTCTTGTTTGTTTTGCTGGCTTGTTTTTCTGCCTGATCCCTGGTGTGGTTCACTGCACAGAAAGCTGTTCCGCCTTGATTACAGAAGTGGGTGCATAGTGAGGACTATGTAACCGTCAGTATAAGCAATTCTTCTCTTACTGTGCATACAAGGTCTCAGATATTAGAGTAAAAGCACCTGTTAAAATATATTAGCTTTTAGGGAAAATGGCAGTTTTCCTGCCATTCTGTTCAGCAAAAAAAAAATGTGAATCCACCTAATTTGTATATTTCTCTG